TAACAGACCCTGGCAGGACCCCTTCACTGTGCTAACCCTCTTATGTCACATTCTCACACTGGGGTAAGCCCCTTTGTTTCACCACCTCCTGGGACCGAATCTCACAGCTCCTCTCAGCAAATCCACCTGAATTGGACACTTAGAGAAGACTCATACATTGAAAGGGAACAATGCTCTTGCTACGTAATCTGGAGTGACTCCCACCAGTATTGTAAAAACAGAAAGATATATTAGATGTCTGGAACACAGTGTAGGAAGTCCTTAGGTTAGCATGCGAAAGGAAAAGTTACAGCAAGTCCATCTCGGTCTGCAGTGGAAGTTTCTTCACTGGATGTTTTCAAAAGGCTGGACAGCCATCTTTCTTGGAAGGTTTAGACATAAAAAATCCTGCATCTTGGCAAGGTGTTAGACTAGATGACCCTTGCAATCCCTTCTAACCCTACAGTTCTATGGTTCTATGATTCTAAAACCTGACTTCTTGGTCTTTATTTCTGCTATGCCAATATAAAAAAAACCGTATACCTGTACTTGTAAAAATTTAAACTATACAACTATACTAAAACAAAACAACTATCCAACTGAGCTCCTAAAGATACAGATCTGGAAGTATCCAGAGTGGTTTCTAATCCTTCAGCTGGTGGTGAATGAAAGGAACAGGCTGATGAAGTTCCAAGCCAGTTTAATATGCTCACCATGGAAAGTTTGATGTTTACTAAGGGGCTGGACAAGAGAGGCATGTGAGCAATCCAATGTAACCTGTTAGGTAGAATTCCACCATTTAGGCTATGCTAGCCCAAGTATCCCATGAGTGGGAATATACATGTGGACAGAGTTTTGTTTTTGAAGGTAAACCACCTGATGGAGAAGTTAGCCCTGAATTATGAAGACAGTGCTTCATACTCTGAATAGGGGTGGGTAAAACTGTTTTGTTTTAGTCATTAATAGCCTCATCCAGCTGATTCCCCAAACAATGAAAAAATGTCATAGCCAACAATGTACCAAGGCTTTAACTACAACATCCTGAGAGCCGAAAGAGAAGGATGCTGCATTTGGTTTTAATGTCCATTGCTCAAACAAAAAAGGCAACATGAAGTATATGTCATCAGGCCTAGCAGGAGAATTACTACATCTGTACCCCGATATAACTCTGTCCTCGGGAGCCAAAAAAATCTTACCGCGTTATAGGTGAAACCGTGTTATATCGAGCTTGCTTTGATTCGTGGGAGCGTGCACCACCCCCTCCCCCCTGGAGTACTGCTTTACCACGTTATATCCGAATTCGTGTTATATTGGGTCATGTTATATCGGGGTAGAGGTGTATTTAAAACCTAGAGACTTCTGTATAGTTTTCAGCAGAGTTGACTCCAGAAAAACAAGCAAATAGGGGTCTGTTAAAAGGGAAAAACACTTACAAACCCTTTGTAAGTATTGTTCTTCAAGATGTGTTGCACATGTCCATTCCACTCTTAGTGTATGTACACCCCCACGCACAGTCACTGGAAATTTTTTCCCTTGGTACTTCTCAGGGTAGCTTGAGCATGCTAAAGATCCAGTGGGGCCCCTTGATGATCGAGATACAAAAGGAGCGCTTAAAGACGATAAAGTCATTGCGGAGAAACTAAATGGATTCCTTGCTTCAGTCTTCACGGCTGAGGATGTTAGGGAGATTCCCAAACCTGAGCCGGCTTTTGTAGGTGACAAATCTGAGGAACTGTCACAGATTGAAGTGTCGCTAGAGGAGGTTTTGGAATTAATTGATAAACTTAACAGTAACAAGTCACCGGGACCAGATGGCATTCACCCAAGAGTTCTGAAAGAACTCAAATGTGAAGTTGCGGAACTATTAACTATGGTTTGTAACCTGGCCTTTAAATCGGCTTCTGTACCCAATGACTGGAAGATAGCTAATGTAACGCCAATATTTAAAAAGGGCTCGAGAGGTGATCCCAGCAATTATAGACCGGTAAGTCTAACGTCAGTACCGGGCAAATTAGTCGAAACAATAGTAAAGAATAAAATTGTCAGACACATAGAAGAACATAAATTGTCGAGCAATAGTCAACATGATTTCTGTAAAGGGAAATCATGTCTTACTAATCTATTAGAGTTCTTTGAAGGGGTCAACAAACATGTGGACAAGGGGGATCCAGTGGACAAAGGGTAGGAATTAATGGTAAATTCTCAGAATGGAGAGGAGTAACTAGTGGTGTTCCCCAAGGGTCAGTCCTAGGACCAATCCTATTCAACTTATTCATAAATGATCTGGAGAAAGGGGTAAACAGTGAGGTGGCAAAGTCTGCAGATGATACTAAACCGCTCGAGATAGTTAAGACCAAAGCAGACTGTGAAGAACTTCAAAAAGATCTCACAAAACTAAGTGATTGGGCAACAAAATGGCAAATGAAATTGAATGTGGATAAACGTAAAGTAATGCACATTGAAAAAAATAACCCCAACTATACATACAATATGATGGGGGCTAATTTAGCGACAACGAGTCAGGAAAAAGATCTTGGAGTCATCGTGGATAGTCCTCTGAAGACGTCAACGCAATGTGCAGAGGCGGTCAAAAAAGCAAACTGGATGTTAGGAATCATTAAAAAGGGGATAGAGAATAAGACGGAGAATATATTATTGCCCTTATATAAATCCATGGTATGCCCACATCTCGAATACTGCGTACAGATGTGGTCTCCTCATCTCAAAAAAGATATACTGGCACTAGAAAAGGTTCAGAGAAGGGCAACTAAAATGATTAGAGAACAAAAGTTCACAGCCTCTCTGATCAGCAGCGCAGGGACGCAAGCACACCTACAGTGGAGTACCCATAGGGACTCTACTCAAAGAAGACCAGGCACTGCCTGATTGGTAGGTACTGCTTCCCTTTCCAAGGTCACCAAATTGGAGGGCTTGGAATACAATCTGGAATTGGAGGGAAGCCCCATGGATTACAAAGAGGCCACTTGACAGACACAGCCCTCAGTGAACTCCTGGCCAACCACTCAGTGGTACTCCTATGAGTGGATCCATGGAAGAGTGGAAACATCTGGAGAAGGAGCAATGGCAGTGGCTCCGAGGATGAGAAATGTAGAACAGAACCTCTGATTCAGAAGACAACAGTTCTCCTTCCCTTAACCACAGAGGTGCAGTTTCAGACTACGATGGTGACTAGTGCTGAGGTGGAGAGGCCCACAGAGAAGCGAACATTGCAAGTTTTCCCTTTGACAGTATTGAAGGACAAGCAGTCAGGGGTACATGAGGCTGGCACAATACCACGCGTAGCAGCAACGCTATCTGTTCTCCCGTGTCTGCTGGCACCAACAATATCGATTCTTGTACTGTTGGTGATACCGGCATCAACAGGGTCGGGATGTTCCTGGCAGCCACAAATGCCTCCGGCATGGTCAATATCGGGATAGTGTCATTATGGTGCCACAGATGCAGAAGGAGCTCCTTCTGGCTCCTGACTCAATGGAAACTGCCTAGGAATTGGAGTCAACAATGTCTTATTCTACAGTACCAAAGCAGGAGAGAGCTTGGGCTTGGACAGCAGTCTACTCTTATCCCCCTGCCTAGCAGACTTTGGTGCCAGAGATCTCCCCCTTTTGGCAGTCTGCTTCTGATGCCTCTTCTTAGACATTGGGTGTCTTAGACACAGGGTGAGCAGTATCGAGACTCAGGTATGGTAGGAGGCACACTCCTTACTGACACTCTGGCACTCGGTGCTGACTCTGACTAACCTGGCTCAGATGGAGATCTCAAGGACGCCTTCATGAGTACAAACTTTAGCCTGGCTTCTGCATCATTCTTCATGTGAGGTTTAAAGTCTCTGCAAATTTGGCAACACTCTCCAATATGAGCTTCCTGAAGGCACTTCAAGCAACTTGAGCACAGGTTGCTCATAGGCGTAGCCTTATTGCAGGAAATGCAGGGTTTGAAACTGGGTGACCAAGGCATCTCTTGGTACTGGGAGTTGAGTGAAATCCTGAGCTGGTAAAAAAATCTAACTAACTAAACAAACACTAATTATTTACAAAACAAGAAAACATAGTCCTCTGGGAGAACTTTCAAATACAAAAAGAGCATTTCCAGCAACCATCACAGGTGGTAAGAAGGGACTCAGGTGGCTCAGGGTTGGGTGGTCCCTTTATAGCCATACCAGCGGTGCACAGCAGCAGCTGTGCGTGAGATGTGCACACATCAAGCGTGGAATGCACATGTTCAATGATTTAAAGGAGAACATTTTCAACTACCATTCTGTGCTTCATATATAATATGCAATGCAGATGAAGGACCATCCTGTCTCATGTGCACCAAGGGCAACAAACCCATTAAAAAAACACCTATTCTCCAAGATTACTGTGATAGGATGTATAGACCCCACTGTTGAGGAAAGTGCCAGAGAGGTGGTGGGAGAAGGGATAGTCCCACTCCTCTGGTCTTGGTAGGGAGGAGGTCTTTTAAAGGGAGGAAACTGCAATCAGCTGGAGGGAGGAGGAGCAAGATTGCCCTAAGTAGAAGGCTGCTGGAGTGACTCCTGAGGCCACAGGGGGAACTCCCATCCAGGAGACCTTCTCCCTGACCCTATGGCAGTGCAGCAAACTCCCATAGTAAACTGGACAGAGTAAGCCTGATTTAGCAGCCCAGCCAGAGAGATTTCTCAAAACCCATTACACATGTGCTGTATTGTTGGCAGCGCTGTGGACCTTCTTTCCACCCATGAGAGGTCCCGGGAAGGGGAAACTCTCGGGTCACTGGGGCATTTAACTTTCCTTTTGATTCTCCCATCCACAGAGATTCAAGGAGCCCTGCAAAGGGCAGGGCCTCCTTGCAAAACTTAAGGAATTGGGGCCTGTGCTGGAGCCACATAGTGTAAATAACGGGGTGCGGTCAGATTCTCCCACCATCTGAGAGTAAAACCTTAGTGGATTCCTTTACAATGACCTTATCAAAAGACATAATTGTTGTATTACAAAATTTTAAAACCAAGTATTACTCACGGGCTAAATGACCACATGACACATTTTCCTCTTTTGGGGCATTTGCAAACACAACCTCTAGCTGTATTTGGCTTCTGATTATCATGAGAGAAGCCAAGAGAATGGCCCATCTCATGTGCAATAGTGGTTGCATCAAAGAGTGCTGATTTACTTCTTGCCTGTATACAGTTAAACAAAACACAAAAATGAGGAGTTCTGAATTACATATGAACATAAAAAGCCAAATTTTAAGAGTTATGTGATTGCATGAACACACTGGATAATTTCATTTGCAAACAAATCTAGAACACAGCAGAACCCTAGAAGAGAACTTTCAGATTGAAGGAATAATAATTTCTTCAAATTACCCTCTGAGATCCTTTTAAGAGGGGGGAAAATGAACCACTGACAAGTGACATGTCTAGCTCTGCCAAGGTCCTCAACCCATAGAATTTTACCCAATAATTCCTACATCAAATCCAGAACTTCTGGTGGTGCTAAAGCATTTCTTTTATAAGGATATCAATTGCTGATTTAAAGACTCCATGTGATGAAAAATCAACCATAACACGTATCAAGCTGTTCTAATGGTTAACTTTAATGTGTCTTATTTCTCATCCAAATTCATCCAGCTTCAGATTCCTCTCTTTGATAAGCTAAACAGATTGAACTTTTTAAGTCTCTCCCCTTAAAGCAGGTTTTTCAAACTGAATCATTCTTATACCTCATCTGAACCACTTCCAGGGAAAGTGGAGAACCCTTGGTTTGGAAGATTAGGAGGAAGAACTTAGTCATAATGGATCACTAATATCAATGTCAGATAAGATATGAGTAGGTAAATAACTTGTACCTATTGCTTCCATATCTTGATTGTAGAAAGTGCACAATCTTTTTAATACTATTTTTAAATAATTGTACAGGACACAGACCCATCTGATTCCTGAGTTCATACTGGTGAAAGTAAGGACTAAGGCAGAAAATATGGTTTAATTTCTCCTCACTTTGGACAGTGCCTGGATATTTACTTGTAAAAATTATCCAGTGGCACAGTGTCCCCTAGGGAGCTATTATAACAAAAACACTAAGCTCTGGGTGTATCAACTGGGGAAATATGTCTCCAGCTGAGTCACTTTCAGTTCAGAGTGTATTACAGTTCCAAAATTACTGACCGTCTTCGGGGTCTTCAATCTTCATTCAGAGCCCGGTTCGACTCCCTCCTTGAGGAATAGGCCACTCCGCATGTGGCCGTTGGGGGAACCTGGGCCTGCCCACTACTGTGGGTCATGACCCAGGGACCCTATAAGGAGAAGCTGCCTGCTGCATCCCTGTATTAATTGCAGCATTTCGCTGGGGCACTTCTCCACTGTCCCCCAATACCTTTCCTTCACCCTTAACTAGGGCTGAAGTTTTGCTTAAGTCCCAGCAGCCAGCCAGGAGCTCCTTCTTGGTCCCCCAGTCCCTGCCAGCAACTGCTCTGTCCCTGGTACTGCAGTTCCTTGAGCCAGCCAGGAGCACCATTCTCGCTCCTCTGGCTCCTGACAGCAACTGACTCAATCGGGTACTGCAGCTCCTTTTATATTGGCCGGCTGGGCCTGGGTTGGCTGCTTCCCAGCAGCCTCTCTAGGCCACTTAGAGAACTCACCTTCCCTACTCCTTTCTGGGATGGAGTGTTGCTGGACCACAAGGACTCCAGCAGGGGGGCTCAGGACCTGCTAAACCCCATCACAATGATGATATGATATCTTGGCTGATCAAGTTTGCAGATGGCATATTGGTGGGGAAATAAATAATGAGGGAGACAGATTACTGTTACAAAAAGATCTGAATCACCTGGGTAAATCATCGCAGTCCAACAAAATGTGTTTTAATATAGCCAAATGTAAGATAGCACTTCTGAGGCCTGGTCTACACTAACCCCCCAATTCGAACTAAGGTACGCAACTTCAGCTACTTGAATACCGTAGCTGAAGTCGACATACCTTAGTTCGAACTTACCGTGGTTCAGACGCGGTCCACACGCGGCAGGCAAGCTCCCCCGTCGACTCTGCGGTACTCCTCTCGCCGAGCTGGAGTACCGCAGTCGACGGCGAGCACTGCCGGGATCGATTTATCGCGTCCAGACCAGATGCGATAAATCGAACCCGGAAGTTCGATAGCCAGCCGTCGAACTACCACGTAAGTATAGACATACCCTAAGAAAGATTAACAAAATGCATGCTATATCTACAGCAGTGGCTCCCAAATTTGTTCCACCGCTTGTGCAGGGAAAGCCCCTGGAGGGCTGGGCCAGTTTGTGTACCTGCCGCGTCCGCAGGTTCAGCTGATTGCGGCTCCTGCCCCTCCCAGCAGCTCCCATTGCCCTGGAGCAGCGAACCGTGGCCACTGGGAGCCGCGATCGGCCGAACCCGCGGATGTGGCTGGTATACAAACCGGCCCGGCCCGCCAGGAGCTTTCCCTGCACAAGCGGCAGAACAAGTTTGGGAACCACTGAGCTACAGGATGGAAGACTCTATCTTGGAAAGCAGTGATTAAGAGAAGGACTTGGGGATCATCAAGGCTAATCGCCTCAATGTGAGCTGTCAGTGCAATGCTGTGGCACAAGGGCTAATGCAGTCCTTGAATGTATGAAAAGAAATGCAGGAAAAAGAGAGAGCCTGAGACATGAAGCCTGGTATAAGAGGCTTGGTGTGAGGCCTGAGGCCTGAACTAAAGTAGTGGTCAAACCCTGCTAATATAAAGCAAAGTTAGCAAAAGTCAAGCTGTGAGCAGAAGTCAGGCTCTGCCTGTGTGTAGGCTCATAGACTCTGGCAAGAACAGGGCTGGTATTGCAAAAGCACACACATTCCTGAGAAGCACTACGCACAAGATACTCACACAAGCACATTCCAGAAGGGTGGTACTAGAACACACCAATACCGAGTATGGTACAAACACGCTGTGCCCTCCTCCACCCGCACCCCATGCTGCCCCAGCCCTGGGCTCCCTTCCCCCCCCCCACACACTCCCTGCAGCCCTAGTGCTGGGCTCTCCCCCCACCCCAACCCACCCGCACCCTCTGCCACCCCAGCCCTGGGCTCCCTGCAACCAGTGCTGACTCCGCCCGCTCCCCCCTCGCCTCCAGCCAGTCCGGCGCTGGCAGAGTCGGGGGAAGCAGTGAGGCTCCTGGGCCGTGCCTCAGCCCAGGGTCCCTCCAGCCAGGGCTCCCGCCTCCAGGACTGGCCAGGACCCGGGAGGGCAGAGCTGGGGAACCGCCCCGGCAGGGGGCTGAGGAGCAGGGGCAGGGTAGCCCCAGAGAGCGGTACGCAGGCCCTGCACGGCAGCGCCCCGCCCTCTACAGCCCCGCTGCTGCTGCCGCTTCTGGCCGCCCTGCCGTAGTCCCTGGGCGGCTCGGACCATTTTGCTCAGCCCCGACACCTGCAGGCGGCTCCTTGTGCCCCGCGGGGTGGCCCCCAGCCTGAGTGCTCCCCGCTCGGAGCCTGCCCGGCCCAGCCACAAGGTGGGGGTGCTACTCCCCCGCGGCACGAACCGCAGTGGCCCCAGGGCGCCCCCTGCACATGACACACTGCTGCTTCCAGGGCCGGCTCTAAGCTTTTGCCACTGGAAGCAACAAAAGAAAAAAAAAGAAAAAAAAAAAAAAAGGCTAGAATGCTGCCCCTGAAAATGTGCCGCCCCAAGCACATGCTTGGTTTGCTGGTGCCTGGAGCCGGCCCTGAACAGGAACATGTTGACCTCTCAAAAATAAGGTCAGATGACAGCATGATGGAAAAAAATGTTTTGATCGAACCAACATGTACAAAGTAAAGGGTGGTAACTAACCATGTCAGAGAGTTGAGTCCATTGTAATGGGAATACATGCGTAAGTGTACCTGTAACCATTGAGCCAGGGCATTGGGACCATGTTTCATTGACCATAAACCTGTCTGGGTGCCTTCGCTACTGAAACAGATTTATCGTCTTATTGGGGAGTTCAATCGAGGTCTGCTGTGTTGGCTATCTGAGCAGAGCTGGCACAGAACGCAGAAAGAACACACACACAGCCAATGAATAACAACAAGAGGAATATCAAGCACTTTTAGAATAATGATCTCGCCTCTGAACACAACATTGGTAAGACTACTGCTATAATATTGTGGACAGTTCTGGTTCCACACTTCAAGAAAATTGTGGAAACACTGGAGAGACTTCAAAGGAAGGCTATAAAAATGAACCAGGGGCTGGAAAAAAACAAATTACTAACCTTTCTGTGATGGTTGCTCTTCGAGATGTGTTGCTCATGTCCATTCCATGTTAGATGTGCATGCGCTGCACAGTCTCAGGAGATTTTTCCCTCAGTGGTATCACAGCTCTAGCACACTCTGGTATCTCATGCTCATGCACTAATATAAAGGACCTGGCCGGCTCTGCACCATCTCATCTCCTTCTTGCTAACTAACTCTTAACCGGGGACAGGAAGGTGGATCGTGGAATGGACATGAGCAACACATCTAGAAAAACAACAGTTATGGAAGGTTAGTAACCATTTATTCTTCTTTGAGTGCTTGCTCATGTCCATTCCACATTAGATTACTCCCAAGCAGTACCTTAGGAGGTGGGTTCAGAGACATGAGGGTTGCAACACTGCTCTACCAAACCCAGCATCATCTCTAGCCTGCTGGGTGATGGCATAATGGGATGAAAAAGTATGCACCAATGACCAAGTTGCTGCTCTAGAAATGTCCTGAATTGGGAGTGGTCCAGAAATGCTGCTGAGGAAGCTTGAGCTCTCAATAAGTGGGTGGTCAAGATCGGAGGAATTGGGGCACCTGTCTGTTCACCTTTCATCCTATCTGCTATTGCTACAAAGAGCTGTGTTGACTTATGGAATTGTTTGGTCCTTTCTATATAGAAGGCCAGGGCCTGTCTAACCTCCAGTGTGTGTAGAGGCTACTCCTCCCTATTCCTGTGCGGTTTCAGGAAGAATACTGACAGGAAGATAGCCTGATTACCATGGAGCTGCAGGACCACCTTCAGGAGGAACACGGCACAGGGGTGAAGTTGTACCTTGTCCTTAAAGAACACCATATCTGGGATTCTGATGTTAGGGCCCTAGATCTCTGAGACCCTCCTGGTTGAGGTAATTGCTACCAGGACGGCGACCTTCCAGGAGAGGTACAACAAGGGGAACAATGCCAATGACTCA